TTCGTAATCAATTTGACAATTACTATTGTTATACTTATCATATAGGATTTTTGTGACATTGCAGTCTTCCAGTTTGAATGTGTAAATGCACAATATACAGTAAAATACAAGAAAATGATTTTCTTTTTAGAGAGAGAAAGTCGCTGTCACAATTTTGTTCATAATTTTCTCACAAGTGTAACGAGCATTAAGAATGCAAAATGTGTGTAATCTTAATATCAGAAGTTTTACACAGGACCCTGATTTACAAATAAATGCTACAGTAATCAAAGTACTAACACAGTTTTGGGACACAGGAGAAAACTAAAAATTATATATTCTTGAGCATATACACTTCACAACTGTTGCAAAAACACATGGTCACGGTGAAATATTTGATGCATATCACAATAAGCTGTAAGATTTTTCTTTCATGACACACAATAGACACAAGTTGGACAACTGCATTTTTTCCAATGTAAATTGTAGCAAAATCGGTTTTGAAATTCACAAACATGAAATTAATATGATATATATAAACATATGCCTCCAACATTTTCTTGAAAATAAAATTTCTGCTATCAAACTGTGGTTTAAAAATGATATTGCTTCTAATTGATGTCACTACAAAGTACATACTTGTGAATCAATGTACATATTTAATATATAATAAGAGGCCCATCTGCCACATTACTCACCTGAGTATCTCGGCTTGAAAAAAAGAAGATATCAGTTCCATTTTGAAAAGTTTAACTTTATAAATGGTCCCAAGCTCCCAGGGGGAAAGGGGCTTCATTTGAACAAAAATTAAGTTGTAACAAGTTTACAACACAACAGAAAACAAAGAAATCGGATCTAAAAACTCACTTAAGCTTTTGACTCAGGTGAGCAAAAATGTGTTTTGCCATGCAATTTAAAACAATTACAAATATAAAATTAGACCACATAATGAACACAATAAATTGATATGAAATTAACTTTTTCCCAGACGTAATTTTACAAGGAAAAGTTCTCAATATGAAGATACACATTCTTCATTTCACATTTGTTCCAGTTTTCAAGGGGAAGCTTGTCCTCCAACATACAAAAGACTGACAGCACAATTGTCTAATATATATCAATGCTTGAAATTGTTCTCCTACAACAGTAAGTTTATCAAATCCCCCAGCCATCCTTTATGCTGTGCCATTTGTGGTGTATACCTCTAGAAAAATAAAATTTTACATTATCATTAAAACGACATATAAATAGCAAGTAAAATTGAAGATCTGAAGGGTATTTTATTTATTATGCCTTTTTTAAAGTACCTCTTTGCTGTCCTGGAGATGTCATCCGGCATTAGGGAACCCCCAACATGGTAGTGATGGAGTTAAATTTCTCTGGAATGAGAAATTAACCAACAAATCTCCAGAAGCAGTGAAAAAGGTTTCGTAAACAAATCCTTCCAGAGACCTTTATGCTCTGGCCCTTGTGGTTTATACTTCTAGAAAAATAACAAATTTTAAATTCTAATTAAAACAACAAATAAAATAACAAGTAAAATGGAAGATTTGAAGGGTATTTTATTTATTATGACATCTTAAATGTAAATCATCATCTTTTCAAAGCAATAAATTAAGATCACTTAAATTCCTATCCTCTGCAGGAATTCGAACCATGCACTTCTTTATACAAAATGCTTACAAGTGCATTAGCAACACGTACACTGTCTACCTCTATTATCTTCTGAGAATTTGTTTGATGCTTGATGCATATCTGCTGCAATGCAAGTAATAGCTGAGACTTGCTTTGACAATTTTTCTTTGAACCTGATATTTTCCAGAAAATTTTGTCTTTTTCTTTTCTGGCCCTTGACATCATCAACATAATCATCTTTAAGATCATCAAAATCTTGATCTGATCTTTATTTTTTTTACATCTCAAATTGTTAATTCCACAGTATTATGACACAGGATGCCTTTGTTCTCGCATGTCATCCAGAACATGTGTATTTTTTTTCCACATATTCCCATTTATTTATATATATTTTTGTTTATAATGAAAATAAATAAATAAGACACTTTCACCCTGTTTGGTTACATTAAAAAAGTTGTCTATATTTTTCTGAAGCGATATGAGCAAACATAAATCAACTAAAATAACTTATTCAAGATTTATTATGAACAGGTGCGTGTGGTGGATTTTGATCCGCTCCTGGCTAAAATAAAAATGGCGTCGTTCCAAGAGATGCTTCGTTCTCATCGTATTTTTCGTGTAATACAACAAGTAGAAATATTATCTTGGATAATTTGGATTAGTATCATTGCATGCAGAAAAATTTTTATTCGATTTTCACTAAAATATGACCGTTTCTCTCAAGAAAGTGAAATCTAGTCGATAATTCTATGGCATGTCCTGTCGCACGACTGCTGTTTTGTGTGTTTTCAAAGACTTGAAATAATATTTCAAGTGAGGCAGTTGCCTCATTACCACAATTGAAGCTACTTATGCGAACAAAAAAAAAAAGAAAAAAATTTATATAGAATCAGGCCCCTAAAGCCGCGAAAACAAGCTAATGTTTACTCGGTCAGTACCATACGAAGTCCTATCGATAAACTACTGGCTAAGTTTATATTTCAGAGCAACACGTGCAATTATACTTAAATGTGCATGTATTTACATTTACGTACCTTCTAAAAATTTCCTGGTAAGCCTCCACAATCCCGTCAATTTCTTTTGAAGTCACTGTTGTGCTGCCGATTTTGCGTGTTTTTTAAAAATTGTTTACAAAACAAAGAAGCATGGTGCGTATGAATATGAAAAAGTAGTTCGATCTCTATGTTAGGCCTAATATGTCATTTGTATAAACCCCAACAAACTTTGCACAGAAAAATTAACCAATATTTTATGCAATTAGTTTTAAAATTTTTAACCAGAAGTCTCTGTCGAGACTGTAGCTCTACTGGTTTATACTTAAAACAAAGGAAGAGAAAAGTAGCAGTTGGGACTTGAGACTTTAAATCAGCAATAAATAGAAAAATGATCCTTGCCACTCATCAAAATAAAAACCAATGCACAGAATTATGTATCTTAGTATAGTCTACTTGTGTGCCAAGTTATACTGAAATCAGACCAAAACTGCAGGAGGAGTAGCATTTTGAAAGAATTTCACAGAAATTTCTATTTTTAGTAACCTGGCAACATTGTTCATTGAAATCAAAAACCGATGCACAGAATTATGTATCTTAGTGTAGTCTACTTGTTTGCCAAGATATATCAAAATCAGACCAAACTGTAGGAGCAGAAGCATTTTGAAAGAATTTCACAGAAATTTCTATTTTTAGTAACCAAGGCAACACCGTTTATCGAAATCAAAAACCGATGCGCAGAATTATGTATCTTAGTGTAGTCTACTTGTGTGCCAAGTTATACTGAAATCGGACCAAATCTGTAGGAGGAGTAGCATTTTAAAAGAATTTCAAAGAAATTTCTATTTTTAGTAACCAAGGCAACACCGTTCATCGAAATCAAAAACCGATGCACAGAATTATGTATTTTAGTGTAGTCTACTTGTGTGCCAAGTAATATTGAAATTGGACCAAAACTGTAGGAGGAGTAGCATTTTGAAAGAATTTCAAAGAAATTTCTATTTTTAGTAACCACGGCAACACCGTTCATCAAAATCAAAACCCGATGCACAGAATTATGTATCTTAGTGTAGTCTACTTTTGTGCCAAGTTATATTGAAATCAGACCAAAACTGTAGGAGGAGTAGCATTTTGAAAGAATTTCATAGAAATTTCTATTTTTAGTAACCACGGCAACACCATTCATCGAAATCAAAAACCGATGCACAAAATTATGTATCTTAGTGTAGTCTACTTGTGTGCCAAGTTATATTGAAATTGGACCAAAACTGTAGGTGGAGTAGCATTTTGAAAAATTGTTTACAGACAGACAGACAGACAGACAGACAGACAGACGGACGGACGACGGACGCATTACTATCGCATAAGCTCTTCTGGTCTCTGACCAGTAGAGCTAAAAATCGACAAGGCATATATGCACATATAGGAATATGACAAGTGACGAAATACACTTTCATTCTTCGGCGGTTTAAATCTTTTTTGTCGGACCGACATAACAAGGCAGGTCAATGAAAATGTTATTGTTTACCCTTAAAATAAATTTCCTTTCAAAAAAGAAACATTGACATGTCTTCAATATATATTGTAACGTGTAACCTAATAAAGGGTCCGTTTTCAGGAGATACAGGGTCCAATATATATATATATATATATACTTTTCCTCTGGCTCTATCTGAGCCTATAATTAATATGGGGAATCAATATTATATACAAAAATAATTGTTATTCGTCATTTACAGGGGATGCTTGTCCCTGGGTTTTTTTTTTAATGAAACAGCAGGACACAATTAGAGGTTAGTTCTTTGTAACCGGGTACTGTGACTGGGCTCCTTGCACCTGGTTCCGTAACCAAGTTCCTATTGAATTGAGCACTCAGTGCCTCACCCTTACTCAGGATTACTACACCTTGTGCTTCAATTCAATTCCTTGGCTAAATACAGACCGGTGCTCTGTACCCTAGCCTTATCTTTCTTTTTCCCTTTTAAATACTTCTTGATTTTATTACTACCTATAATCTTCTATTCAGCTTCTTGCTTCTTCTGTGGGTTTCCGAGAGAGGGGTCGAGACTGCCTCTGCAGTCATTTATATAGCAAAGGGCTATACCATTCAAACAGGGGTGAACAGGCTCCTGGACTGTTCCATTATTCCAGGTCACACCAACGTTTGAATGGCATAGGCCTTTTTCATTACTCATTACACTACCCACGCCTCTGTATACTTGCGTCCCGCATGTTCATTGGTTATGTTTTTTTTTTTTAGACAATGAAAAAATCAACAAAACGAGGTTAAGAATTCCTTTCTTATACACAGTTAAACAATTATTCAAGTATTTACAACAATAGACTTATGTACATGTATGTACATTGTTTCTTTTTCAAAGTGCATCCCTATAATTAGTCATGCCAAATGTCTTCCTCAACTCTCTCCACACATTCACCATCCTTTTGGTATTTTCTTACAACTCTGACTGTCTTCTGGTGACGACTTGTGTCCGTCTGAGTGCTGGCATCCAACCTAGTAACATGTTCCCTACAGCAGGGGCAGTGATGTAAAGCCATGGGCGCCTCATGATCCTTACCATCATCCACCATGCTTGAATCTTTGTCTGCAGATTGGCCTGGCACCTTGTCTACAAGTTCGTCTGCCTTGCGCTTGACTCCAGGGAGACTGGGCGACGTTTTCTTCCTGATGGTTCTACCAACTTCAAGGCCTGTCTCATAAATAAGATCTCCTGGGTCTTCTTGCCAGTCAGAATCATCTTCATGGTTATCTACAACAACGGATTTGGAGTTCAATGGTACATGTTGTTCTCCACCTTGCAAACCAGTAGTTGAATGTAACCTCTTCTGGTGTCTCATTAGAAGGGAATGCTTAGCAAATGCCTTGTCACACTGGTTGCACTCGAACTTTCGTTTATTCATGTCATCAGTGGCGCATGCAAGGAGATGCTCTTTCCATTCCTCTTGTGAAGGGAGTCGACAAAGGCAAATGGAACACAGAAGGCCGGGTTTCCGGGGGGTAACTTTGGTCAATGGCATGATCTAAAATAAATAAAAAGAACATTGCTTACTTAGCAAAGTACATTTACTATACAGTATAATCAAACTGATAATCAGAGTGCCATTTAGGCCTCCTACACCGCCTTCTACTTGTGTATTCAAGTTCCATCTCATTAAGATTTGTGTCGGTTGATAGACCTAACCCATCACTTAGTTCAGTATCTAATTCTTTTGCACGTAAACCATTTTCATTTGCACCAGGGTTTACACTTTCTGTCTCTTCTAATACTAACTCTTCGGTTTGACCAGGTTCATCATCACCCATTTCATCTGTCTCAAAACTAAGTCTCTGAGATCCATAATGTCTTAACCTGTCAATGTGGATGACCATGGTTTTCTTTTCACCCAATTTCTGCACCCTATAAGTCAGATTGGTATGTTTTTCAATAATTACATAAGGCCCATACCAAAAGTTCATTAGTTTAGGAGATTTCCCTATACTTCTTTGAGGAATAAATACCAAAACCTTGTCACCAATTTCGAACTGTTTTTCGGTGGCATTCCTGTCATGGTATCTTTTCTGTCTCAACATTGACTGATTTGTGAACAGTCGTGTATTTCGATGAGCCTCTTCCATGGTATCTCGTAAATTCCATGCATATTCATGCACATTAGTTCTTTCACGATCCAAAGGTAGTTCATACATAATATCTAAAGGGGTCGAAACTTCCCTCCCTAGCATAAGCATGTTAGGGGTGTACCCCGTGCTCTCATGTATCGCAGACCGGTAGGCCATCAACACATATGGTAAATGTTTGTCCCAATCATGTTGATGGTCTGAAACGTACGCAGTTAACATAGTCGCCAAAGTCTTGTTAAAGCGTTCGACCATTCCATCCGACTTCGGGTGGAAGGCCGTAGTTCGAGTCTTGTGAATACCAAGAAGGTTACAAAGTTCTTTAAACAAACGGCTTTCATACTGTCTACCTTGATCACTATGTATCACTTCTGGCACACCAAACCTGGTAATGAATTGTTCAACAATCCTTTCTGCTACAGTTAGAGCCTCCATATTCTTGAGTGGGTATGCTTCCGTCCATTTAGTAAAGTAGTCTGAAATTACAAGTATGTATTTATTACCATCATTAGTTTCTGGTAATGGTCCCATTAAGTCCGTCGCCACGCGTTCCAAGGGACGCCCCGTTTGATCAAGTTGCATAAATGATTTCCCTGCAGCACGGTTCTTCCTTTTTCTACACTGTGTACAACCTAATACATAGCTTCTTACGTCGTGCTGAAGCCCAGTCCAATAGAAGCGTTCTCTGACTCTTTCAAGAGTCTTGTTGACTCCAAGATGTCCAGAGGTTCTGGCATCATGGCATTGCTGCAAAATATTTTTCCTCTCAGACAAGGGGACAATCACCTGGTGATATGTCTTTTTATCACCTATCCATTTTCTACACAAAAGACCATCTTTAATTTCTAAATGATTCCACTGAGAGCATACTGATTTAACTACTTTGCTTTCATGCTTGATTTCTGAAGACTCTGGACGCTTTTTATTCTCTACCCAACATTTTATCTTTGATAGATCCATATCCTCATCTTGAAGACTTTGTAGAAGAACTGGCATAGTAGATACAGCGTCCACTTTACAATTTGTTTCTGAAATTTGAGGTTCAGCATTGGCAGTTGAAAGGTTTTCCTCTATGACCTCAGAATACCCACATTGGTGACATGGGTGTCGACTTAGACTTTCAGCATTACCATGCTTTGCACCAGGTCTGTGCCTTATCTCGAGGTCATAGGTACCAAGAAACTCTATCCATCTCGCTACCTGGCCCTGTGGATCTTTAAAATTGAACAACCACTTAAGAGCACTGTGATCTGTTCTGATAATAACTTTGTGCCCATAGAGGTAATGCCGGTAATGTTTACAAGCAAAAACCACTGCCAAGAGTTCTTTTCGAGTAACACAGTAACGTCGTTCTGACTTGGACAATGTCCTACTAGCGTAAGCTATTACTTTTATTTGTCCTTGTATTTCTTGCGACAAGACTGCACCAAGTCCCGTCTGACTGGCGTCAGTATCTAAGACGAATGGCAAAGCGAAGTCTGGGTGAGCGAGTATTGGTGCATTGACCAAATGAAATTTAAGTTTTTCGAATGCTGTTTGGCACTCAGCAGTCCATTTAAATTCTTTCCCTTTTTCCGTAAGTTTGAACAAGGGCTTGGCTATAGAAGAGAAACCACTGATAAATCTACGGTAATAGCCACATAACCCTACAAATGACCTAACCTCGGTGACATTCAAGGGTACAGGCCATTTGTCAATGGCTGAGATCTTCTGTGGATCAGTCTGAATACCTTCTCCGGATACTTTATATCCCAGAAACAACACCTCTTTCTTAAATAAAGAACATTTCTTTGCCTTTAGTTTTAGGCCGGCTTCTTCAAGTTTTTGAAACACCTGTTCTAAATTCCATAGGGTCTCTTCAAAATTTCGACCAAATACAATAATGTCATCAATATAAACTAAGCAAATCTTGTAGTTTAAACCAGCTAACACCGTCTCCATAAGCCTTTCAAATGTCGCTGGACTGTTACAGAGTCCAAACGGCATTACTGTGAATTGGTATAGTCCGTTTCTTGTTACGAAGGCAGTCTTTGGCTTATCGCTTTCCTCCATCTCAACTTGCCAGTAACCGGAATGCAGATCCAATGTACAAAATAACGTTGCCCCTTGTAAACGGTCTAATGAATCGTCGATCCTGGGTAAAGGATATGCATCCTTCACAGTTTTACTATTTAAGGACCTGTAGTCCACACAAAATCTTTTGGTACCGTCCTTTTTCTCAACAAGTACCACGCCTGCAGCCCATGGACTAGAAGAGGGTTCCACGATTCCTTTGTCAATCATATTTTCTACCTCTTGATCGACAAAATCAGCTGCATGATGAGGCAACCTACGTGGCGGTTGTTTAGTAGGCTTAGCATTTTCCGTATTTATTCTATGCTTGATGACAGAAGTTCTCCCGAAGTCATCTTTTGATTTGGAAAACAAATGCTGGAAACGAAGGAGTATTTTCTTTGTTTTCTCCGCTTCATCGGGATTCAAATCTTTGATGGCCTCAGCGTACAACTCTTTAAGGTGTTCTGGGAGACAGCTCTCTTGGCATTCAGTGACATCTACTCTACATTGACTTTCCACAACATTTGTAACAGCTGACGTGGTTCCTACAACCGTGTTTTTGTAAACAATCTGAGGACTGCCGGATACGTTCATTAACCTTACCATGACATTGTCTCTGGGGTTAATCAGCGATCTCGCAACCAAAGCTTTACCGCTTTTCTGAAACTTTTCGTAAGCCTCCATTACTAATGGTCCTTTACAATTAAAATTGCTAGGTGCAAGTAACTGACCAGGGCATAGCATCTCACTCTTTGGTGGAATGGTTATTGTCTCCTTTAGGCTGACTCTGAAACATCCTAAGTGACCCTCAAGTTGGAGCTCATGCTCAATTCCTCCAACATACATTTTCCCTGAAGAAACATCCACCAAACATTTATTTTGTTTCAGGAAATCTAAACCTAAGATGCCGTCGGTACTGATATCAGCGACAACTGCTTCAAAAGTGAATTCATGACTTCCTATCATAAAGTTGGATGTACACTTACCCTGCACTTGCAATGGAGTTCCATCGGCTAGAATTATTTTCTGTGTTATGGGCATTAGTTCGACAGTTTCCGTGCTAAGCATGTTTTCAAATACTTTATTTGACAAAATTGTCAGTGTAGCCCCGGTATCCACTAACAATGTACAAGGCACCTTATTAACACTAGCCTTTATAAATAACCCAGACTGAACATCAACTCGTGTTTGAGTGACTGAACTCGTATTAGACTTCCTATTCTTTGGCTTAGCCTCGGTTACCTCTTTTTGTTCTACTGCCTCCTTTGGGGATGCCGTGTATGCATTGCTTGCTTTACCACTTATCTCCGTTCTCCTTTTAACATAACAGTCTTTAGCCCTGTGGCCTCGTCTACCACAGTTATGACACTTAAAAGGGAACTTTATTTGATCGGAACTTGGTATCGAACTTGATTCATCAGATTTTTGTTGTCTACTGGTCTCTTTGCGTTCTGACAAAGTGGCTATTTTGTTCTCGAGGTCTCGCAGTGACGACCGAAGTTCATCTCGTAATTGTTTCAAATCTTCCCGTACCTTTGTATCAGCTTCTGATTGCCCCTCTAATTCACCATGTGCTGTTCTTGCAAAACTAACATCGTGTCTTCTCTGGCGTTCAGCTCTACAAAAAGCTTCAATCTCCACGGCCAGCCGAACTGCGTCATTTAAGGATTTGGGCCGAGACTGCTGTATTCTAAGGCGCATATCAAAGTCCGTTAAGGCGTCGATGAACTGATCTTTAGCAATCATCTCTGTAACCTCTCGTGGTGCCGTTGGGTACGCTAAATGTGCTAGTCGTCGTATACTTTCACCTAATTCTGGCAGTGTCTCCTTTGGCCTTTGATGTTTTTCCTTTAACATGGCTCGATAAAGTTCCGTCTGATTAGTCGGTGCAAATCTTGCCTCTAATGCTTCACACAAATCTCTATATGCACAAGCATTATCTGTCTTCATATTTCCAAGAACTGTTTGTGCTTGGCCTCTTAATGATGCTGCCAGGTATAAGCCTTTTTGTCTATCATTCCACAGGTTGATGCTACTGCATGCCTCGAAATGAGCTTTGTAATCAATCCAGGACCCAGTACCATCAAATGTCGCAGGCTTCATCACAGTTTTACCAAATGTATTTGTACTAGGACAATAACCACTGTTTTCATTCACTGGTAACGCTGCACCTAATGGTGTACTTGGTACAGTCGGCATGGGTTCTGTGTCCTTTGCACCACTCCATGTAACACTTGTGGGTGTTGACATTGAGCTTACACCTAACGTACTCCAGTGTACATGTGGCGTTGAAATCCGTGGTGTATATGCTGTTTTAGCCAGTGACACTCCTGTGTACGCTGACTTTGGTGTGGTGTAAACATCGCCTCTTCCCCAAATATCTTTGTTTCCAGGAACATGGAAATCATAAGCTTTGGTCTTGTATTCCTCGTATCCACCCATAGCTCCTTTCACATTACTTGCTCTTGTGGTGGAGCTTATGTAAGCTTTACCCATCAACTCATCTATACTGTCGTCATCAGTCTTTTGCCTCAAGTCTACACCAGAATCAGTGACTAAGGAGGGCCTACTAACATTAAATGAGCTTGGCGTAGACTTTAACTTTTCCAACGTTTCTCTTAATTGTCGTCGTCTAACGTCAATTTCTTCAAGATCTGCCCACAGTTCTGATTCTTGTTCATTCTTCATGTTTAATTTCTGTATACCAAGTAACCAAACAAAAATACTCGGTACTTAACTATATTAAATCTTACTGTGGTGCACGTACCTAACACAGTGCACACAGAACTCTGTACCTTGTATCTGAACCCGGTGACAGAGCACAGTTCACCGTTAAAAAAACTTAAACACAGATTCTAACAATTAAATGTACCCTGTATCCCTTTACCAGCTGCCACCAAAATGTAACGTGTAACCTAATAAAGGGTCCGTTTTCAGGAGATACAGGGTCCAATATATATATATATATATACTTTTCCTCTGGCTCTATCTGAGCCTATAATTAATATGGGGAATCAATATTATATACAAAAATAATTGTTATTCGTCATTTACAGGGGATGCTTGTCCCTGGGTTTTTTTTTTAATGAAACAGCAGGACACAATTAGAGGTTAGTTCTTTGTAACCGGGTACTGTGACTGGGCTCCTTGCACCTGGTTCCGTAACCAAGTTCCTATTGAATTGAGCACTCAGTGCCTCACCCTTACTCAGGATTACTACACCTTGTGCTTCAATTCAATTCCTTGGCTAAATACAGACCGGTGCTCTGTACCCTAGCCTTATCTTTCTTTTTCCCTTTTAAATACTTCTAATTTTTATTGCTACCTTTAATCTTCTATTCAGCTTCTTGCTTCTTCTGTGGGTTTTCGAGAGAGAGAGATCGAGACTGCCTCTGCAGTCATTTATATAGCAAAGGGCTATACCATTCAAACAGGGGTGAACAGGCTCCTGGACTGTTCCATTATTCCAGGTCACACCAACGTTTGAATGGCATAGGCCTTTTTCATTACTCATTACAATATGTTCGCTTTTATTTATGTAGAGTTTCTCAAGGTGTGATACAATTTATCGTAGAAGGAACTGAATAAACGAGGTGTGTTCTTTGGTCAAAATTAGGTCAACATTTGTAAGAACATAACTGAGTTGATGTCCATCAACTCGTAAAAATCACCTTTTTTATTTTCTGTTACTTTACTTTACACAAACAAGTCATTACCCAGCAGGCATTTCAACGTTGATTCAACGTTGAATCAACGTTGCGATTCAACGTTGAATCAACGTTGAATTTTGGTTGCATATGAAAGTTGAGGCAACGTTGAGACATAACGTTGTTTCAACGTCAATTTTCAACGTTGAATAAACGTTGAAAATGGGTTGAATTTTTGGTTGATTTATGGTTAATTTTTGGTTGCAAATGAAAGTTGAGGCAACGTTGAAGCTTCAACGTTGTTTCAACGTCAAATATCAACACTGAACAAAAGTGAACATTGGTTGAAATTACGTTGAGATTTGGTTGAAATTTTTCGGTTGTAAGTAATTATGAGGATGCTAGACAACCAAGAGCTAGATCTGGACATAAAAATCTTGTGCCAAAAACTAATAAATTTACAATGATGCTGTGGGATAAAATTATCAGTTCACTCTACCGAGTGTGATAGTGTGTTTGCGTACCTGATTGCTGGTCTGGTTCAAAATTAGGTTTTTAACTGTTATAAATCCATGGAGCAGTCTTGATACATTATATTGAATTATAATTTAAATGGTAAACATAATTAATTAATTGGGTTTTTTTGCATGCGTAATTTATTAGTAAACATTTAGTTATACTGTAAACGTATTACATTTGGCTGTGTATTCTTTTTAGCGGCTTTGGCGGAACGCAGCAACCGCTTAATCAAGTACAACGCTAAATGTCTCGAATATATAAACACATACATAAGAATATGAAGAAATGCGCTAAATGAAATCTTATTCAAAAGTCATTTTCCGCCAAATATCGTACACGCTAAATATAATATATTTACAGTATTTAATTAACTGAAAGCTAAATTAATAAATTATTTGTTAGTATTTTTGCCTTTTCACTGGTAAATTGTAGAAGCAATGGTCAGCAGATTATCAAATAAGACATGTTCTTATCAGCTGATAAGGAAAAGTGATGCTAAATATATCCAGCTGCTCTGTGTTATCTAGATAAGCTCCTCCCATAGAAAATGCGGTAGTGACTACCGCTGCCTGGGGTTTAAGGTTTTTGTGACAGGCGGACAGATGAATGAGAATTAATGCTCCCTCACTTTCTCAAAAGTAGGGGTCAAAGAATATATATACAGTCATTAATTAATTGTATTATTGACTCATTTATTTAAAGCCTTTTTACATTTACTTAGTAATGAATGTACACGTATATTTTCATCTTATATTCTATTAAAGCATCTGAAATCAGAAGCCATTCTAAGAAAAAAGGGAAAAAGAAAGTACAGTGGGAAACAGGCGAATCAACGGCTCACTGTAAAGGGAAAACCTGGACTGACATTGATTCACAGAAAGGTAACATAGATTGAAGAGTTTTACTGTTTAATTTTTAAATACTTTTTGTATGAATACATCTGATATAAGTATTAAACACTTTATAGCCAACAACAAGCTTATGAAAATATGGGATCAGGAAACGGCAACAAATTACATTAAAGCCCGAGTTTATGGTTATAAAGTCAGTGATGCTGATCTCATGTCTCTAAAAAGTCCAAAGTGGTTGACAGATCAGGTATTAATTTTTTTTTTCATTACATCACTAAAAATTATTCTTTTAGCCTGCATGTGATGTATTGCTTTAACCATCACAGTTTGAATGAATAATAAACTGATTATGGCACAATTTTGCATTTATAGGTACTTGATGCATACCTGTCATATCTAGCTCAGAAAGTGGGATAAGGGGAAAAAAGTAAAGCATATGAGTGTATCCAAGATAACCAGTATCATCAATGATCATGTTCAGTCTTCAGAAAAAAAGGTTTTTTAAATAATCTTAATCTAATTTCTTTTGTGCAAAACATTGCAAAAATGAGCAATTTTATGTTTGAGTTTTATAAGTAAAAAATCAGAGAGTCACCATTTCAAAGCTCATTGATTTTAGGCATTTGTAATGAATTGTAATGAATCAACTTACCGACTAATCTGAGGGTTTTTATCGCTGAATATCGTCATCTGTTTTAAAACAAAGCCATCATATATTTTTCCCAAGCAGGATTCAGCAAGAGGGGAATCTCCTCTTAGATATTTCCACAAAAGATATTAAATAAACCCTTAGTAACAACCTGCGCCAGGCTCTTTTATACACGTATTATGAATTCTGCATATGTCCACGTTTATATAAAAGGGTAAATGTCAAACGTATACTTTCGTACGTAGTTTGAACACGCTGACTCTTAAACAAGAGTACGCAGCACAGTTAAGGTTACGAATGGAAATATCGGCGATTTTTTAAGATAAAAAATACATACTTGACTAGGATGGGCGATTCTTTTTACGAATTCACTGATATCAAAAAATGTTATGTGGTTTAATTGTTCATGTTGGGGACATTTATATTTTTTATTTAAACTTGTCATGTGATGTCGACGTCACATGACTTTGGCAATTATACTTGCAGTTTAGAGGTCATCTATAAATTTCAATATTGCAAGGGCATAACCAAGTTAAAAATCTTAGTTTATTTTATAATCCATTTCAACACAATATAGATTCCCTTTTTTAATTGGCAAAAATTAATTTGTTGGACGGCAGATTGAATATTTTGCGGTTCAACTACATTAAATATAGCTATAATTAATTTATTTGCAAGATTTCAAGAGGTTCGCAGCACTTTTCAAATATCTTATTGCTTCTTGAGTTTATGTGTAAAATTTTGACAAGATACATTGAGGGTATGCCCTTGCAATAAATCGATTTATTAGGGCCCTTTCATTAGTTTTTTAATGAATCTGCATACAAACACACGACAGTATCGCTTGTCTGGAGAATGCACGTACAGTTTATAAGTAAAATACTAAAATAGACATCGCATCCAAGTTAACGGCTTTTTATTTTACAGCAAATAATATTTTATTTGAGAACAAAAGACATTTTTCATTGTACAAAATGTGACTTGATCGGCCTCTCACTGTGTACAAACTGCGTCATTTTTGCGAGATGACGTCACATTTACATGTGCATTGCGATCGATGCATCGTTTATATACTGTTGTGTGGGATTTAACAAACGCCGAAACTGCATGTTAAAGTAAGTTTGTATGTAGTATTCAACTATCCAGCTGTTTGAAATAGCAAATAATTTCATTTTGTGGTATTTTGAAGGCCTTATATTATGTGTGACGTCATAGTAAACATTTCCCGTATAAATTAGGCCCCGCCTCCTTACTGTAACCTTAACTGTGCTGCGTAATGAAGTATTTAGTTATATAAATTATTCGGATAAATTAGACTTTTGAAGAAATGATAAAAACATGTTTATTTTATACAAGCATTCTGCAACTTTATATGCACATTGAAATAAGGTGTAAAGTTCATGACACTCATTACAGCTCAAGTATGCAGTTACTTGACGTCATTTTCAATTATGACGTCATACAATTGTAGTTCAGAGAAGTGCATGCAGAGAGAACACTACAATATTCTCTGGGAAGCCTTATCGTACCTGCGAAGAAAAAATGTCTGTAAGATTAAAACAAATTCTTTTTTTTAGCTCACCTGAGCCGAAGGCTCAAGTGAGCTTTTCTGATCAAAATTTGTCCGTCGTCTGTCGTTGTCGTAAACTTTTCACATTTTCATCTTCTTCTCAAGAACCACTGGGCCAATTTCAACCAAACTTGCTACAAAGTTTCCTGGGGTAAAGGGGATTCAAGTTTGTTCAAAAGAAGGGCCACGCCCTTTTCCAAGGGGAGATAATCATGAATTAGAGAAAAAATAATGGCATTTTTAAAAAATCTTCTTCTCAAGAACCACTGGGCCAGGAAAGATGAAACTCATGTGGAATCATCCTCAGGCAGTGTAGATTCAATTTTCTTCAAATCATGATCCCCGGTGGTAGGGTGGGGCCAAAATGGCCGATCAAAATTTTGCATAGGAATATATTGGAAAAAACTTTAAAAATCTTCTTCTCAAGAACCACTGGGCCAGGAAAGATGAAACTCATGTGGAATCATCCTCAGGTAGTGTAGATTCAAGTTTGTTCAAATCATGACCCCCGGGGGTAGGATGGGGCCAAAATGGCCGATCAAAAATTACATAGGAATATATAGGAAAAATTTTCTTCTCAAGAACCACCGAGTCAGGAAAGATGAAACTCCTGTGGAATCATCCCCAGGTTGTGTAGATTCAAATTTGTTCAAATCATGACCCCCCGGGGGTAGGGTGGGGCCAAATGACCGATAAAAGTTTTACATAGCCATGCTTAGTGATATTTATAGGGAATCATCCTCAGGTAGTGTAGATTTTAGTTTATTCAAATCATGAACCCCTGGGGGGGTAAAATTCAAGCCCCCTCCTCCCCCCTCTCCCCAGTAAACTTTCAGTTCTGATCTGATATGTGCTTTTTCTTAGCCAATTGCTCAGGTGAGCGATGTGGCCCCTGGGCCTTTTGTTTTTTGTTTTTTTTTTGGTTTGCAATATAATTCGGTCTAACGCGCTTCGATCAAATGTCAACTACGAACCGTTGATTGACCAGATTTTATTTGCAACAGTGACTTGGATGATTCAAGTGCAAGCTCTGATAGTGAAATTGTTCCATTTAAGCACTCTAAAAAGACATATGCGAGAACAGTACTAATTTATGTGGGCCTGCAAAAAAGTTAGACACCAACAGATAACAAGAGGCCCATGGGCCACATCGCTGACCTAAGAAGCTTTGGCCATTCTGTTCTTTACCAGAATTCCTCCTTGTAATACATAATGCATCCCCACCCTACCCCTCTGATCATAATTTAGACATTTTGAAATCTACACTAACCCAGGATCCTTCAATGTGCACATAAGTTTCAGCTTTTCTGGCCCAGTGGTTCTTGAGAAGAAGATTTTCAAAGATTTTTCCTATATATTTTTATGTAAAACTTTGATTTCCCATTGTGGCCCCGCCCTTCCCCCGGAGGTCATGATTTGAACAATTCAGAATCTACACTACCCCAGGATGCTTCCACATAAGTTTCAGCTTTTCTGGCCCAGTGGTTCTTGCGAAGATTTTTCCTATATATTTTTATGTTAAACTTTGATTTCCCATTGTGGCCCCGCCCTTCCCCCGGGGGTCATGATTTGAACAATTTAGAATCTAAACTACCCCAGAATTCTTCCACATACGTTTCAGCTTTTCTGGCCCAGTGGTTCTTGAGAAGATTTTCAAAGATTTTTCCTATATATTTCTATGTAAAATTTTGATTCCCCACTGTGGCCCCGCCCTACCCCTGGGGGTCATGATTTGAATAATTTAGAATCTACACTATCCCAGAATGCTTCCACTTTAGTTTCAGCTTTTCTGGTCCAGTGGTTCTTGAGAAGAAGATTTTCAAAGATTTTTTCCGATATATTCTATGTAAAACTTTGATTCCCCATTGTGGCCCCGTCCTTCCCCCGGGGGTCATGATTTGAACAATTTAGAATCTACACTACCCTACGATGCTTCCACATAAGTTTCAGCTTTTCTGGCCCAGTGGTTCTTGAGAAGATTTTTTAATGACCCCACCCTATTTTTGTTTTTTCTTGATTATCTCCCCTTGTGAGGGGACTTGGCCCTTTATTTTAACAATTTAAATTCCCCTTCACCCAAGGATGCTTTGTACCAAGTTTGGTCAAAATTGGTCCAGTGGTTCTTGAGAAGAAGTCAAAAATGTGAAAAGTTTACAGACGGACAGACAGACAGACGGACGGACGGACAAAATGTGACCAGAAAAGCTCACTTGAGCCTTCGGCTCAGGTGAGCTAAAAGGATAAGATTATTGAACCTCAACAACAAGACAATAATTATCAAGTGGAAGATGACATCAGTGAAAAAGCAGATAAGGATTGTGACATGCCTTCCTCTAGAAGCATTGCAGATGAGGAATGTGGCTTTGATGATAAGTATAGAAAGATATATACAAAACGCTTTGAATTAGCTTGTTATATTTAGAATGATCCCTGTTCGTGAATGACATCTTTTTACAGTCCGAAATCCAAATACATCAATTATCATCAAATTTGCAGCTATGATTAATGCAGGAACGGGTCCCAACCCCCACTCATGTGATTAAGTTTCTGGCACGTTGTAACATCTCATCAAAAGACGAGTCGAATCTCTGGAAGAAAGAAAATTCTCAAATCATCCGTTAAAGAATGAGTCTCTGACATACGAAAACACCACAGGACTAAAACATCGACAAAATGCATAATCACCCACCGTATGTATTGGATGTATTGGAACAAAAGTGCCAAAAAGATAAAAAGTAAGTACAATATCGCTAATTGTAGGCTCAAGTGCATCCAACTCCTAAAACAGATATCTCCATCTTTATATCTCATCCCCCACAGCCGAATCTTCTTCAATTACATAAAAATTTTTCCATTACATGAAAAGTTAGAAGTAACAGTTTCCTCAGTTAAAGAGTATAGTTGGTGTTGCTGAAGGTTCCTGTGACGGCACAAGAAGAGGAATAGGGCAGTTCTCCTGCAAAAGTTGTGGGAAGTTTGATGCTGGATCTGGGATGTGGATGGCAATATGTCAGCAATACTGGTATATCTTGCATTAAGATATTGACGAGTCATTAAATCATAAGCTGTTTGTCTTAGGTCCCTTATCTTAAGATGATGGTATCTCTCCAGGACATGCAAGGGTAGTTGGGATATATACAAGGTGTATGAGATCAGTAGAAAAGTATGCAACATATTTCAATTCTGTACTAGTAGAAAGGGTAAAAATACAATAAGGATAGTAAAATGAACTGGTCAGGTTTGTAAATTTCAGTATGATTAAGCTAGCTGAAGCTTCCTTTGATCAAAGATAAAGTAAACAAATTCTTCTATAACAATTTTACATATATACGTGTTTTCAAGATTTTTACTTTAGTACTAAGTATCAGATCCTAAAATAAT